TAAAACAAAACATGACAAGTCAAATCAACAAACAAATGAAATGTTCCTGTTAAAAGGTCTGCATCCTCTTAGTTCCTAATCCTGTGTTTTGCCCCCTTTAGCATCGATGACAGCAGCAGTCTTCTGTAATAGTTGTCTATGGGACCCCGGATTCTTGCAGGTGGTATAGCTGCCCATGCGTCTTGGCAAAATGCCTCCAGGTCCTGCAAAGTCTTTGGTCATCTTGCATGAATTGCTCGTTTGAGATCTCCCCAGAGTGGCTTGATGATATTAAGGTCAGGAGACTGTGATGGTCACTCCAGAACATTCACCTTTTTCTGCTGTAACCACTGGAGGGTTAACTTGGCCTCCTGCTGAGGGTCGTTGTCCAAGAGCATCCCAATCACAGCATAAGAATGCAAATTGTCTGCCAGTATTTTCTGATGACATGCTGCATTCTGCTTGCCATTATTTTTATAAGATTCCCCGTGCCTTTAAAGCTCACACCCCCCCAAAACATCAGCGAGCCACCACCATGCTTCACAGTGGGGATGGTATTCTTGTCGCTATACACCTTGTTGACCCTTTCCAAAAATAGCACTTATGGTTGTGACCATAAAGCTCTATTTTGGTCTCGTCACTTCAGATTACATTGTGCCAGAAGCTTTGAGATGTGTTAAGGTGTTGTCAGGCATATTGTAACCGGGCTTTTTTTTTTTTGGCATGACACAGTAAAGGCTTTTTCTGGCAACTCAACCATGCAGCTCATTTTTGTTAGAGGAAGCGTCATATTGTGCTGCTTGAAAACACATACTGTCGTTTTCCAGAGCAGCCTGTATTTCTCCTGAGGTTACCTGTGAGGTTGTTGTTTGTGTCCTGAACAATTCTTCTGGAAGTTGTGGGCTACAATCTTTCTTGGTCCATCTGACCTTGGCTTGGTGTCAAGAGATTCCCGAATTTTCCACTTATACAGTAAATAAGTGATTGAATGGTATTGACTGACATATTCAAGGCTTTGGACAGAGGTGGACTGACAACTCATGGGGCCCCTGGGCAATAGGGGATCATGGGGCCCCTGTGTCCTTGCCCAAACTCAAAAAAAACTATGAAAAAGGTACCAGGGGCATCTCATGGGACCCCCTACTGACCCCGGGCCCTCGGGCAGTGCCCGAGTTTCCAAATGGTCAGTCTGCCCCTGGCTTTGGGTATCCTTTTCCTTCTTTATAAAGTTCCATTACCTTGTTACGCAGGTCTTTTGACAGTTCTTTTCTGCTCCCCATGGCTCAGTATCTAGCCTGCTCAGTGCATCCATGTGAGAGTTAACAAACTCATTGACTATTTATACACTGACACTAATTGCAATTTAAAAAGTCACTGATATGGGAAATTAACCTTTAATTGCCGTTTTAACCCGTGTGTCACCTTGTGTGTCTGTACCAAGGCCAAACATTCCAGGAAATGGAAACTATTAATCATGGCCATTTGGGTGATTTCTGTTATCATTATGATATAAAAAGGAGCCAAACAACTATGTGATAATTAATGGCTTCCTATGATCACTATTGTGAAGTAGAAGACAGTTTTTTTGGCATGATCAGTCATATTTTCAATGTCAATGCCTAAATTTCCTGATTTCTGCCAGGGTGCAAACTTTTGAGCACAAATATACTGTATGTTTAGGAATAAAAATAGTTAAAGCATTATTTTTCTTTTTAATTTTAAATGGTGTCTATGAATATTCCATTGCCAACCATTAATTGGAGCTGTCTTGCATGTCTACTCGGCTAATCTTAGGCGCTCTGCTGAAAAAAAGAAGCCTGTTTATTACAGCATTCAATGTTTATATGCACACAATGAAGTCATAACTTATCTCCTTCTCCCGGTCTGCTCTGTTCAGAGAAGGCTTTACAAAATTTCAGTCATAGAAAGTCTGAAATCAAACAGCTTTAGATGTGGTATTAGAATTTTTAGATTTTGAAAACCCAAAAGGCTATGTGATATCAGTGGCATATGATTTAAAAAACAAAAAATCAGTGTAACCACTTGAAGACTGGACATAGAAAAGATGCCAAAAAGGAGACGGTACTTCTATGCCCAGTTCCCTTTTCTCCCCCTCCCTGTGCTTCCTGTACGTGGAAAAATCACTGGGAACGGGGGCCCCACTCTGTGTCTCAGGGATTGAGAGGGACCCTCTAAATATGAACCCTGCAGTCTCTAAATCTCTAAATGGGGTCCATAGCCTTTCAAATTTATCAGGGCAGCCCCTGTGTGGATAGAGATGTACTTTTCCATCCTAAGTGCATCTACCATATATCCTATCCATTTTCTGCTATCTTTTTTTATTTTTTTTTTTTCAAATGCAAAATTGATTTTTTTTCTTTCATTTGTGTTTTTCAATATTGAAATTAATACACGCAATAGAAAAAAATATTTATCATTTATATATTAAATGTAAATTAAAATGTCTGCTCCTGATGACATCATGTGACGAATCAATATTGAAAAAAATACACGCAAATAAAACAAAAAAAAAAAATTATCATTTATAATGTTGCCATGCTTTGTACCAGAAATAAATGTAAATTAAATGTCCACTCCTGATGACGTCATGTGACGAATCACGTAGGGTGGGGTTTGATAGCATTATGGAAAAAATACAAAAAAAAATACAAGCAATTAAAAAAAAAGCAAAACAAAACATTTATTTATCATTTATAATGTTGCCATGCTTTGTACCAGAAATAAATGTAAATTAAATGTCCGCTCCTGATGATGTCATGTAACAAATCACGTAGGGCGGGGTTTGATAGCAATATTGAAAAAAAATACACGCAATAAAAAAAAAACCAAAAAAAAACATTTATTTATCATTTATACTGTTGCCATGCTTTGTACCACAAATAAATGTAAATTAAATGTCCAACTCCTGATGACGTCATGTCACAAATCGTGTAGAGCGGGGTTTGATAGCAATATGGAAAAAAATACAAGGAATTAAAAAAAAAAACAAAACAAAAAATGTATTTATCATTTATAATGTTGTCATGCTTTGTACCAGAAATAAATGTAAATTAAATGTCTGCTCCTGATGACGTCATGTGACCAATCGCATAGGGCGAGGTTTGAGAGCAATATTGAAAACAATACACGCAATTAAAAAAAAACAAAAAAACATTTATTTATCATTTATACTGTTGCCATGCTTTGTACCAAAAAATAAATGTAAATTAAATGTCCGCTCCTGATGACGTCATGTGACAAATCGTGTAGGGCGGGGTTTGATAGCAATATTGAAAAAAATACAAGCAATTAAAAAAAAAACAATACAAAACATTTATTAATCATTTATAATGTTGCCCTGCTTTGTACCAGAAATAAATGTAAATTAAATGTCCACTCCTGATGATGTCAGGTGACAAATCGCATAGGGTGGGGTTTGCTAGCAATATTGAAAAATATACACGCAATTAAAAAAAACAAAAAAACATTTATTTATCATTTATAATGTTGCCATGCTTTGTACCAAAAATAAATGTTAATTAAATGTCCGCACTTGATGACGTCATGTGACAAATGGTGTAGGGCGGGGTTTGATAGCAATATTGAAAAAATACACGCAATTAAAAAAAAAAAACGAAAAACATTTATTTACCATTTATAATGTTGCCATGCTTTGTACCAGAAATAAGTGTAAATTAAATGTCTGCTCCTGATGACGTCATGTGACAAATCGCATAGGGCGGGGGTTTGATCGCAATATTGAAAAAAATGCACACAATTTAAAAAAAAAACAAAACATTTATTTATCATTTATAATGTTGCCATGCTTTTGTACCAGAAATAATTGTAAATTAAATGTCCACTCCTGATGATGTCAGGTGATGAATCGCATAGGACGGGGTTTGATTGCAATATTGAAAAAAATACACGCAATTAAAAAAAAAAAAAAAAAAAAAAACATTTATTTATCATTTATAATGTTGCCATGCTTTGTACCAAAAATAAATGTAAATTAAATGTCCGCACTTGATGACATCATGTGACAAATCGTGTAGGGCGGGGGTTGATAGCAATATTGAAAAAAATACACGCAATTAAAAAAAAAATGTATAATTTATAATGTTGCCATGCTTTGTACCAGAAATAAATGTGAATTAAATGTCCGCTCCTGATGACGTCATGTAACGAATCGCATAGGGCGGGGGTTTGATAGCAATATTGAAAAAAATACATGCAATTTAAAAAAAAACAAAACATTTATTTATCATTTATAATGTTGCCATGCTTTGTACCAGAAATAAATGTAAATTAAATGTCCACTCCTGATGATGTCAGGTGATGAATCGCATAGGACGGGGTTTGATCGCAATTTTGAAAAAAATACGCGCAATTTAAAAAAAACCAAAACATTTATCTATCATTTATAATGTTGCCATGCTTTGTACCAGAAATAAATGTACATTAAATGTCCACTCCTGATGACGTCATGTGACGAATCGTGTAGGGTGGGGTTTGATAGCACCACTTCCATTTCCAAGAGGGAGTTCAGAGAGGGTGCAGCGTTCCTAGGACATTTTGTTTTTTAAAGCGCCATACTCATGTAAGTGCCTTTTATACAATAAAAGCAGTATAACAATATGGAGGTTGCCTTCTGATTGCTTTTCACGGTGGTGGAGGAGTACTGTGGATGCTTTGGAAAGCTTCCATCTATGGAGTCCAAGTTCAGTGGGTAGCAACTTCAGAAGTACACTGGAGACTGCTCGGCTCCAGGGGCTTGTTGAAGCACCAAACATGCTGTTTGACCTACCTTATCCAGGTAGTCATCTTGTGAGTTGGGCTCTGGACGGGGAACACGAGTGGAGCACCCAACACAAGATTTTTTGTTATCAAGATTATCATCACCAAGTCACTTTGAATGTGGAAGGTGTTCTTTAACCACCTCCCGTCCAGCCGTTGTATATAAATGGCCGGAAGGTGGCAGTGCAGGGTCAGGTGGCCGTTTATAAACGGCCTCCCCGCACCCTGCTTGTGCACGCTCCCTGTCCTCCGGACACAGTGAAAGAGCGATCGTCGGACGGGACCTCTATACGAGTTCCCGATCATGTGATCACTGATTGGCCAATCAGTGATAACATGCAGAGTAGTAAGCAAGATGTCACTTCTGACATCACTGCTTACTACGTTTGAAATCTGTGAATGATCACAGAGGTCACATGGTACAAGGCTATTCACAACAGCCTTGTACCATGTGACAAGCTGTGACCAATCACAGCTCACTCAGTAGTTCTCAATGGCTGCAAGAATGCAGACAGAGAGAAAGAGAAATGATTGCTTTTACATCCTATATGGGTGTAAAAGCAATCAGTGTAAAAAAAAAAAAAAATCATCATCCCCCAAAATTAGTAGTGTCACCATGTAAAAAAAAAATAAAATTAAATAAATAATAATATAAAAAAATAAATAAAAATGTTTAAAAATTATAATTTTTGGTTATAGACTAATTTGGCTTATTTTGTTTCTACTAAAAAGATAACGGAATACATTTCGGCCAAGATTTATGATGAAATATTATTTATTTGCAAAATTTTTAATTTTGTAAGAAAAACACTTTTTTTTCAAAATTTTTGGACATTTTCATTTACATAGCAAAAAAAATAAAAATCCCAGCGGTGAATAAATACCACCAAACTAAAGTTTTATCTGTTTCAAAAAATGGTAAAAAAATTCATATGGGTACAGTGTTGCATGACCGCGCAATTGTCATTCAAAGTGTGATAGCGCTGAAAGCTGAAAATTGCCCTGGTCAGGAAGGGGGGTAAAAGTGTCCGGACTGGAAGTGGTTAACACCGGGACTTTATTATTGTGTTTATGGTTGCACTTCTTTTAATTTGTTCACTGAGAAACCAGTATATGTCATAGGGGTCATATTAATTGCAGTCACAGCACTATTTCATTCATTTGTGTTTGGTTTTATAATACTTTTATATGGTGATAGCATCATTGAGATATCGCATTTATTATTGCTATTTCACACTAAATGCAATTTTCAGGTATTTTACTTATCTTCCATAACACAGGGGTTTATTGAGCTCCTGTCAGAGGGAGGTGCATTCAGCTTTTAATCACGGTTTATTATATTATATTATTAATAATTATATTATTGTGATGACACATTGCAGAGGGGAGTGCGGTGCAGCACCATTTATGCACCACTAGATCCCCAAGCAGCAGCACAGCAATTTAATTAACACATTCTCACCCACACCCTTGCGGATATTGCTAGCAGCAGCCCGCTGTGTATATAACCAATTTTTTGTCCACTGCGCAGGACCTACAGTTACATAGTTAGTCTGGCTGAAAAAAGACAAAAGTCCATCCAGTTCAACCATTAACCATTTCAATACCGGGCAATTTTACACCTTCCTGCCCAGGCCATTTTTCACGTTTCAGCGCTCTCACAGTTTGAATGACAATTGCGCGGTCATACAACATTGTGCAAAAAATTTTATAATTTTCTTCACACAACTAGAGCTTTCTTTTGGTGGTATTTAATCACCACTGGGGTTTTTTATTTTTTGCTAAATTAACAAAAAAAGACCAAAAATTTTGAAAAAAAAACACGTTTTTTCTTTGTTTCTGTTATAAAAGTTTACAAATAAATAATTGTTCTTCATAAATTTAGGCCGAGATGTATTCTGCTACATGTTTTTGGTGAAAATAACCAAATTAGGAGTATTATTTAGTTTGTAGGAAAGTTATAGAGTTCACAAACTATGGGATATATCTGAAAATTGATCAATCCTGAAGTATTGACAGCCAATCTAATTTCTTGAGGTTCAAGAATGTCAGACTAGTACAGATATCCCCCAAATGACCCCTTTTTGCAGAGTAGACAGTCGGACGTACTTCATAAGAGGAATGGCGAGTTTTTTTGAAGTTGTATTTTTTTGTCATAATTTTTCGGAAAATGAAAAAATTAAAAAAATTATTTTCACTATTTTTTTTTTTACATACTGTCACCAGTGCAGTACAGCGTCATCATATAACTGGCATGGCAGTGAACAGGGACACTGACTGGTGACAGTATGAAAAAAAAAATATATATATATTTTTTAATTTTTTTATTATTTTTAATTTTTTATTAAATTTTTCTTTTATTTTTTTAAAGATTTTTTTTTCATATTTTACTATGACCAAAGTAGTACAACGTTACCATAGTAACATTGTACTACTTTGGGGAAGTGATCAGTATTTTTTTTTTTTCTTTACACAATTTGCTTATAGCAAAGAATTACTTTGCTATAAGCAAGCATTTACCTGAATGACATCGATTCATTCAGGGTTTTTTTTTTTTTTTTTTTTTTTTTGTGCTTAGCTGTGATTTGGACACAGCTAATCACATGACATGTGCATGTGACCTGCTGTGACCATTCACAGCTAGGCACTAGTATACAATGGATGGCATGAATGAAGCCATCCATTGTATACAACTGTCATGTGACCTGCTGTGATTGGTCACAGCAGGTCACATGGTACCGGCAACTGGAGTCGGTACTCAGATCTGTCATCGCCCGTGTCCGAGGTACACGGCCGGTGACAGATCGCGCCGCTGCGCGGCTCTGCAACTGCGCGAACTGCACATGTGCGGGAGCACGCCAAATGGCGTGCACCCGGAAAGGTACAGCGCTTCTGATGCCGCCAAATGGCTATAGGCCGGGCGGCTAATGGTTAAAAAAAAAAGTTATAATCCTATAGCCATATATGTTCTGTCATTAGAATCTCTATTGTCTACACTAAGGAATAATGTGGATATAAAGGGAATATGGATAGGAGACACAGAGCATAAGGTGGCAGGTTATGCGGATGATATGTTGTTCTATGTGGGGAACCCTAGGATAACTTTACCAAACTTAATGAAATCACTGAAAGAGTACGGGGAGATATCAAACTTAAAAATTAACCCAACAAAAAGAGAGATCTTAAATATAAACCTTCCAAATAGAGAGAAAAATAAGATACAAGAGGAATTTCCCTTCATTTGGAGAGAAAAAGAATTAAAATATCTAGGAATAAAATTAACTGCCTCCTCCAAAAACTTATAAATCAAACTATATTCCATTGTTAAATGAGATTAAGGACGAACTAAGGAAACTAGGAGGGGGAACGCCATCGTGGATAGGTCCTATAAATCTAATAAAAATGGTGATTGTTCCAAAAATCTTATATAAATTTCAAATGATACCAATTAAACTCCCAGAAGCATATTTTAAAATAATTAAAACCACTTGACCTCCAGAGGATTTGCCCCCCTTCCTGACCAGGCCTCTTTATGCTACTCGGCGCTGCACTAATTCAACTGATAATTGCGCGGTCATGCAATGCTGCACCCAAACAAAATTTACGTCCTTTTTTTCACACAAATAGAGCTTTCTTTCGGTGGTATTTGATCACCTGTGCGCTTTTTATTTTTCACGCTATAAACAAAAAAAGGCCAAAAATTTTGAAGAAAAACAATATTTTTTACTTTCAGATATAAAAAATATATAGTAAACTCAAAGTTGGTTATAAATTTAGGCCAAAATGTATTCTGCTACATGATTTTGGTAAAAAAATCCCAATAAGTGTATATTGATTGCTTTGTGTGAAAGTTATAGCGTCTACAAACTATGGTATAGATACTGCAATTTACGCCATTTTTTTTGCTATACAGCGCTGCGCTAGTGTAACGGACAATTGCGCGGTCATGCAATACGGTACATAAATTAAATTTACATCCTTTTTTTCCCCACAAATTGAGCTTTCTTTCGGTGGTATTTGATCGCCTGTGCATTTTTTATTTTTTTGTGCTATAAAATAAAGGCTGACAATTTTGAGGAAAAAAAAAAAAAACAATATTTTGGACTTTTTGCTATAAAACATGTCCAGTAAAAAAAAAATGTAAAAATCAAATTTAGTCATAAATTTCTGCCAAAATGCATTGTGCGACATGTCTTTGCTAAAAAAAACCCCAATACGTGTAAATGAATTGGTTTATGTGAAAAGTTATAGCGTTTACAAATGGCGGGAAAGATACTGGAATTTTTAGTTTTTTTTTTTATACTAATAATGGCGGCGATCAGCGACTTATGGCGGTGATCTCATAGCGACTTATGGCGGGACTGAAGGACTGCGGCGGACATTCTGACATTGGGGGGGTACTGACTTAGGGTCACTGACATCACCAGTGACACCAATACAGTGATCAGTGCAAAAAAAAAAAAACACTGACACTGTTACTAATGGCACTGGGGAGGAAGGGGTTATATTGTTTATTTTGCAGGGAAGGGTTTTCTGTGTGAGGGGAGTGTTTTACTAGGGGGCGGGGTGTGTACTGCAGGGGACAGGCTGATCGGGAGAGAGAATCTCTTCTGTCCCGATCACCCTGTCCTGGAGCTGTCAGGGAAGTGACAGACAGCACAGCTACTGCAGCTGTGCTCTCTGTCACTGATTGCCGCCGATCGCTGGGAGATAGCCGGTAAGGACATCCGCGGCTGTGATCGGCAGGACAGGAAGGGCAGCGGTGCGCCTCGCGCGCACGCCCCCTTCCTGTTTACAAAACGCACATTTTAAAACGTTGGTTTTGCCTGCCCGTGCCGCCCTGCCGCCGTATTTCTACAGTGGCAGGGTGGCAAGTGGTTAAAAGATACTATAACTCGGTAATATTGGCGAGAATTTTTTACTGGACGCATAACGCAAAAGGGAAAAGCTGGGTTAAAATTGAAAATGTATTAAGTAAAACTAATTTAAGTAGGATCATATGGGTGCCCACCAGGGGCGGACTGACAACTCATGGGGCCCCGGGCAATAGGGGATCATGGGGCCCCTGTGTCCTCGCCACACTCAAATCACACACCAAAAAAAGCCTATGAAAGGTACCAGGGGCATCTCATGGGGCCCCCTACTGACCCCGGGCCCTCGGGCAGTGCCCGAGTTCCCCAATGGTCAGTGTGCCCCTGGTGCCCACACAATATCGAGGATTAGCAGAGAGCACAAGTTGGTACACGTTAAATGTTTTAAGAGTTTGGGGTGTATTGCTCAGACAGAAGGGATGGCAATCTAATTCACTGTTAATGCCCTTAGGGTCCACAGAGTTTTTTCTCCCGGGTAAAGAAGGCATCACAGGTAAGTGGATTAAGAAGGAGGATGCACAATTGAGGGATATAATGGTGGGGGAGGGAATGGGTTCATTTAAGGATTTGGAAAAGAAAAAGTGAGAAGTTTTTACGAGAATGGATGAG